GGTGTTTGGATTACAAAGAAGGGGTTCTTTTCACTGTGCCGGCCACGCTGAACTGGAATCCCAAGGCCTAACCCTAAACCCATAACACAAAAACAGCCAGGGTCCAGGGTGGTGTTAGGAGTTGGGGTTTGGGGTTTAGGGTTTAGTGCTTAGGGAGTTGGGAGTTGGGGTTTGGGGTTTAGGGGTTTCTAAACGCAACACCGCGTTCGGCGTCAGGTTGTTAGAGCAAACAGTTCAGCCCTTGACTGCGTGGATTTCTGTCAGGCACGAGTTGTCCGACAATCCTGCATGACCCGAATGCACCCTCAATGTTGGGAAGCATGAGAACTTCAAAGCTAAATATGAGCATTTAGGGTTTAGGGTTTAGCATAATGTCAAGCAATGTTTTCCTAAACATTAATCCTAAGCCCTAGACCCTAACCCACGAAATCATAAGGTCATGCATGATGTTTACCTTGGATGCGAAGTCCTGTGAGTATCAACCGAAGGACACCATGGCCCTCAACGCCCATCCAATATAGCAGCCCGGCCAATGCAAGGGTTCTGTGTGGTTTATGATGGCAACTTACCCGCTGTTGAGCTTCAATTTACTCCATTGATCCTCCCCTTTCTGCTTTGGGACCCTTCTCTCACCTAAACCCAATCCTACCCTGACACCCCAAGAGTAGCCCGACACCCTCAACCATATACCCCAAGCCCTAGGCGCGACACGAAGAATTAATTTAGATCCTAAACCCTAGATGCCAAATAGTAGTTTCCATTTTCTTTTCCATTATCACAATATATCCCGTAATATGATCCCTGTATAATCCCTGTATAATCCCTGTATAGTAGGTACAGAACCCTAACAAACCCAAATTGCCAGATCCTACACCCTTGAGCCTTAGGGGGCGTTGGGGCAAGATGCCAGGATCTTTGGGTGCTAGTCTGCAGTCTATGCAAGCAGATATTGCCTTTGGTGCATGTGGCAGAAGGTTAGAGATGAAAATTGCAAGCTCTCGGTTCAGGGGCAAATCAAAAGGCCTTCAACCATGGGTTTAGGAGGGTTTAGGGTGTAGGGCTTTAGGGTTTAGGGGTTTAGGGTTTGAGGTTTAGGATTTAGGGTTCAGGGCGGCGTTTGGGTATTGTATAGCCGTCAGGATCTACCTTTGTGTGTGAGCGGCCAGGGGGACAAGGTGCCAAGATTCAGGCATCCAGGAACAATGCAGCCTAAACCCTCAACCCTACGTACGCTGAACATCTTGAACCCCAAAGAACTCAGTCCTAGACCTCGAAACCATATGAGCTATAGTCTAAACTCCTTCAAGGGGGTTATATAGGGTATTATACAGGGAACTACTATAGGGGTTATTAAGGGGGATACTAGGAGTTTAGACTATAGCTCATATGGTCAGGGCTTATGACCCCTAAACATCCAACCAGGACCTCATGGCCGATTGCTGACTTTTCTCAAGGAAGGATGCCACAAAATCCCGGAGAACCCGTCATGCCTCTGGCATTATACCATTTTTGTGGGGTATTTAATCTCAAATAGGGGGATTGATGTATTTATGACAACTTAGCCTAGTGCACTAGACCCTTCCCCCCTCTAAGTCCATAAGATGGAACTGGGTGGTATGCAAAGTTATCGGTATATACCCTAATTGGTGTCCCTGAAGGTTTCTGGTTTTCACATACCATGAACCTATCCTTACCTGGACCCCAGAATACTCAGAAGGAAAAGCATCTTGTGGCTTCTTATGGGTGTTTGGCCATTATTGTGGCGTCCAAGGTAAGCCCTCAACCCTACACCCAAGATCCTAAAACTCCAAACCCTAAAGCCCCTAAACCCTGAGCATGTCCTTAATCCGCAGTTTGCAGCAGACTCCGTTTGCGCAAAAATGGAACACGCGCCGTCTTTGCTTTCTCCAGCAGCTTTGCGTCAGATGAATTCTCACAAGGTGTTGGGGTTTGGGGGTTTAGAGTTTAGGGTTCTTGGGTTTAGGTATTGATTTTGGGGTATGTAATCCTCAGCAAGATCCCTTATGCAAATGCTTCGTATATATCCCGAGGGTTCCTGAGCGCTCCTTTGAGAACCCTGCAAGACATCATGGACAATCGTCAACTCCGAAACGCCTCCAGAATGAAGAAACCAAGAGAATGTGAGAGAGACAGAAAGAGAGAGAGAGAGAGAGAGCGAGAGAGAGCTTCGGAGATAGATTAGGGTTCAGGGATTGTCCACAGCGCAGCATTTCTGCAGGGTAGCAAAGAACCAGCAGCCCATCTCCGTCTGTCAACCCCAATACCTCAGACCTAGAACCTAAAGTCCCAAACATCATCAACCAGAAGCCACCAAAACCCTATACATCCCTAGGTCCCCTATATGGGTTGCTGGACCTTGATCATAAACCTCAAGCCCGCAACAGCCTAATCCAAGGCCCAAGATTTCGACTGGCCCAGTTGGATCAAAAACCGCAAGCCCCATGCCCTAGACCTACACCCTATAGACCCTAAACCATACATCCAGGATTTCTATGACAAGTCTTTGGGGCTTACTGCTAGCCGTTTGGCGTGTAGGTTTTAGGGGTGGGGGCCCAATGTGTAAGGTAAGGTTTAGGATTTTAGGGCTTAGAGTTTCGGGTCTTGGGTATCAGGTTTCTGTGTAGGGCTTCCACTGACATAGCCTGTCCGTACGGATGCGCCTTGCCAATCTGATTCTGAACCTAGGGTTTAGGGTTTTGGGCTCTAGGGCCCCAATGGTCCAAGTGCTCAAGACTCATGTACTCGAAACCTTATATACACCCCTAAACCCTAAACTGTACTTGACCGAAACCTTGACTACAATTCCTAGTGCCCAAACTTCCAGTACTTACTTATTGGGTCCGTGAACCCTCTAGGGTATGTTGATGTGAACGGCTGAGGGTCTAGGTGGAGAGCAGGGTTTGGGCTCTACCGTCAGGGTATTTTGCTGCACAGAAATTTTGGCCAGGATTAACACTAAGAGCATGCTATGGTCGGTTTGACTTTGTTTTACGGGTTTCGGGTCATTCTGTCACATGCTTCTGGGGCTGAGGCACGTATTCCCTATTTCGGGTTTGGGGCTTCCTCAATGTCAAGCAGCCCGCGCAATCGTCCAGGTAGAAGAGTGCCTGAAGAATCAGGTCAAACAGGAGGTCATACTCCAGGCAGCTTCGGGTTATTTAGGGGCCTCAAGAGTTAGGGCTTCGGGGTGCAGGACTTTGGGCTTTAGGGCAACTGGCCCCTAAACCCTACACCCTAAACCCTAAATCCTAAATCCTAAGCCCTACACCCTAAACCCAGGGTCCAGGGTTTCAACCTTCAAGGGGGCCCTGTCACGGTTTAGGGAAGCTTTCCAAATCTTAGGGGCTGCAGGTGACCAAAAACAAACTCTGATTACCTAAAGCCCAAACATTAGGGTTATACTAGGGTTATATTGCGATCATATTGGGGTAATATTGGGGTTATAGTACTAGGATAATGGAAAAGAAAATGGAATCTACTACCTAAACCCCGAAAGTATGTAAAATAATAGCCCTAAACCGAAACCCATAATAACAGCCATAAAGGCCATCATTTTACATACTTTTGGGGTTTAGGTAAGGCATTTGAGAACCACAACCCCATGATTTGGGTACTTGGACGCTATTGGATGGGGCTTCAAGGCTTCAAAGGGTTTCGGGTTCATTAAATGAAAGCTGCTGGAGGTATGTTATTATGCATGTTGCAGGTCTGGATGATTATAGAGTGCTACCGGCAACCCTTCAGGCTTCTGCATTACCGGGTGTAAGATTGAGAGTGTAAACTTTCGAGGTTTAGTGTTTAGGGTTGGTTGCTTCTAGGGGCATATTGTTGGGACTGCATAAGGGCTACTATAGAGATGTACTCTTCCATTCCCTACCCTAAACCTTACGCGCTAATCCCGAGATCAGATTTTCAACCCTCGACGCTAAATATTAGTTTCCATTCACTTTTACATTCCTCCCTGCCCCGCTGGCTACCAGTAAGTAAAGGCCACAGGGTAGCATCCCAGATGGCATCCTACCGTAGGTTCCTCACCTCCCCTCTACCTTGGCGCACCGGATCGAAAACCCAAATTTCAAAGCCGCCCAAAGCCTGAGCCTTGCAAATGGTAGTTTCCCAAAATGGGAGGACCCCAATATAGACCCCAAAAGATTCTAGTCCTTATTATAGGGACTCCCAAAAAGGTAACCCTAATTTTGGGAAACCCTAAACCCTAAACAGTAGTATCCATTTTCTTTTCCATTATCCCTTATAACCCCAATATAACCCCTTTAACAGGGTACCCCTGATTTCGGGAAACCCCCAAATGCACCAAACCCCAAGCCCTGCACCCTCAACCGCTTGGCAGAACAGTGCAGGCTGAGGGCCTGTTTCCAGGAGACTCCGACGGGCGTGGACGCTGGATTTCTCTCATAAATTGGGTTTAGGGCTTAGGGTTTAGGGTTAAGTCGGGTTTTGGGGGCCATTGGGTTTCTCTAAGGGGTAAGGGGGAAAAAAGATAGATATGTTTAGTTTAGGGGTTCAGGGGCTACTATGTGTCGGAGAGGTTTGCAAGTGTTGCAAGGTGGTTTTGAGGCATGCTTTGAACACGCCATGTCTAGCACGTCCGTGTGCCCAGCTAAAGTTCGCACGCCATGTCTAGCACGTCCGTGTGCCCAGCTAAGGTTCGAGTAGACGAAAGTGGCGGCGCTTGCGCTTGATCCGGCCGAGCCCCGACTTCCCCACAAGTTCCTCCGAGTCGCAGATGCCAAGCGGCGCATTTGCTCAGCTGTTTATAGTGGCTGTTAGTAGGGAAAGCATAAATGGATCCCTTTAGTAGCACCTGTATAATCACTAACAATACAGGAGTGTTCATGTTCTCTTCCACTCTTCCATTCCTTGCTATGCAACAACCAGCAGGAAACCCTAAACCGTATTATGTCCCTGCAGTTGGATTTTCAATTTCCTGTCTAGTTGGTTCGTCAGTAGCAACCGGTAAGGTCAAGCAGCGCTAACGCCTCAGGCGAGCAGAGTCCGGTCAGGAGCAAGAGGTGGCGCAGTTTGGAGCGCCAAAGTGGCATCCAAAACATTTCCTGGTATCGGTTGGCGTTTTGCTGGTGCGTCAGGCTGGGGAAGGGCAAAAGGAAAAAATGCCGTTTTCCCATCCGCTCATTTCTACAGCAAGGCCTGGGCGAGGATGAGGCCGTGGCTGCTGCGCTGCGCGACGCAAAGGCCTACCGCGAGGAGCTGGTGCGCAAGGGCATCCTCAAGCCACCGAAGGCCTTAAACTCAGAGCAGGGCAAGTGCTCCACGGTGGTTGGAGTAAGTTTTCAAAATCAACAAAAGAAGTGGCAGGTGAAGTTGCCGGATGCCACCAACAAGAAAAGAGCTTGGGGTGGTTACTTCAGCAGCCAGGAGGAAGCCGAGCTCAAGGCCCGGGAACTCGCCAAGGAGCTGGGCATCAAGGACATCGAGCACAAGGTGGTCCCGGTGAAGCATCTCTCGGAGCTGAAGCACTTCGAGCCGCTGGGCCCCCAGCTAGGAGTCAAGTGGAACCTCGGCGAGCAGTGCTGGCATGCCAGGTGCAGTGTGGCAGGCAAATTGCGGCACATGCGGTGCAGGCCCAAGGATTTCTCGGAGAAGGAAGTGGAGAAGGCATGGAAGCAGGCAGTGGCTTGGCGCAAGCAGCAAGAGAAGGAGAGGGATCAGGCTAAGAAGCGCTGAGGAGGATCTTGAGAATGCTTTCAATACCTGACGTAGGCTAGCCAAAGATCCGTCATATCTCTGCAGCACAGTAGAGCGCCGAAGGGTGCTGTCATCACAAGACGCAAAGCCGGTTGGACCGTAGCGCCTCAAAATGGGAGTCGAGTCTTAAACCTCTAAGAATTCACAGTTCTTTTTTCTTACAGGTCGACCCCATTTTTGAGACGACACCACTATCTCTCCAAGAAAAAGTTCGCGCGGCTGCTTGGTTCCATGGGGGCACGGATATTGAATTCCGCATATGCAGCCTGGCCTTGGACAATGGCTGCTACATGAGTATGTCTTAGGAGGACCCCCCACCCTGTAATAGTGGTATAATAAGAATATAAGAGGACCCTAATATAATCCCTCTTATCCCCTATAGTCACTATTACTGGGTGGGGGGTCCACCTAAA